GTGAAGGATGCTGTCAGGCAGAGCCCAAACCCTCGACAAAACAGCAACAGAAAAGGGGAGGGATCTTCTGCATAGGGAACACGGTCGCGGACACGGACACGGACACGGAGTCAGCCTCTAGATCAGGGTCGAAGTCATCCGATGGCCATGGCGAGGGCGCGACGTGTTTGATTAGCTTTATTAAATATGCAAACAATGCAAATTTCTCTTATATTTTTTTGTTGTATTTTAATTTACATTGTTTTTGTTCAAAATGTGGAAAATTCACTGGGAGTTTAATTGCCAGAACAGCACCAAATGGATGAAAAAAAAAACCGTACAAAAATGTAAAATTTAATATGCATTGCTTCCCGTATTCCCCGACAGCCACAACCCTCCTGCCCTTCAGATTTCATTCGTGAACAAATTGTTTGTAATGCATTTTAATTTTGTTCTCCTCTTTGCCGCAATAAATATTATTTTTTTTTGTTTTGCCCGACAAATTCGAAGTGGGAAACGTGTCCATAATTTAGTCCCGGCATCTTCCGATGCTTCAGACAAATTTACATGATTTTTTTTAGGTCTCTGTCTCTACTCTACTCTCTACGCAGCTGTGTGCATATTTCGCATGTATTTGATTTCCTCGTTTTGTGCTGTGTTAATGTCTTAGGGTCTCTTGTGTTCTGAGTTCTCTTTGCCTCCCAGTGCGAGTCACCAATAAGAATGACTAAGAGAAATTCCCAATGGCAAAGAGAAACGAAGAGAACAAAGAGAGAGCGGCGAAAGGTTAGTGCACACTGCTTTACCGACTCGCGCGCGCTTACTAAGTTCTTTTCGCTTTTCGAATGTGCAAAGGGAATGAAAAACATAAAAAATATGACGTTTAAAATAAAACTTTATGGGATGTTTAGGTTAGATTTATTTCCCTATTTGCAACTTAACTATGCAAATATCATATCAAATTTCGCAATTCGCATTATTGTAAGACTTAAACGTCAATGGGATTATCAATCTTCGGCAACTTTGTTGCCAAATGCCAAAACTTAACTTGAAATATGGATTTGAGAAGGGAGAAGGGAGAGAGATCCTTTGGATGGGAAGTATTGACGGTATCCCCAAGGGATACGCAACGGAAATCTACTTGTGCATATGGAGATGCCATTGCTATTCGTTCCTCTGGTTATTTCCATTACTTTTCGGTAGCATTTTCACCCTTTTTTCCTTGCCTGTCCATGCACCCCTTGCAAGGCCTTGGTTGAAAAGGCAAAGGACTCACACACATACCGGGGAATAGTCCGAAAAGTGCACATATTGTATGAAAAAAGGTTCATTAGGAACATCAATTATATTTCAAGAGCCCAAAAGTTGCAAGAGAAACTAAGTTAACAACATTTGATGTAATTATATATGAAAATAATACTTGGGGGCAAGATTAAATAGGGAATGAGCATACACTTTCGCTCTCTAATTATATTTAATTCATATTGAAGCCATAATAGCTGGTGCTTAATTCTGATTAATTTTCTTCCTCCCGAATATCCATTTAAATCTTAAATCTCACATCTTAAAGCATCTTTTTTATCGAGCATCATTCGAGCAGCTTCCCTCCGTCAGTTTTGTCATCAATTATTGCCAGAGTCCGCTCTGTTGAATATCGTTCAGCGGAAAGAGGAATGCAGAAGGCCTGCCTGGGCATTGTTTAACAATTAACGGAACAAGTTGTTTAACTTTACCTAAACGATTTAAGTCAACAGTGAGCGACAATCCCCACCACTTTAGTGGTCCTCCTTCTCGCTTCCATTCGCTACTCTTTCTTTTTTTATCCACTCCAAAGGACTCCTGACTGACTGTCCTCGTCACTAGCCCATAAGGATGGAGGAAAAGGAGGATGCGACTCTGTCAATGCTGCTCCTGCTGCTGCTGCTGCTGCTGCTTCCGCTTCCGATGACTGCACAAATCGTTGAATTTCCTTCACCGTTTTTTGAGCCTTTTTTTTGCAGGCATCTCCTGGCTGGCTCCAGCTGAACTGGCAGAAATTTGTCAGGAAACATTTCGTTTTGTTTGGTTCTCGTTTGGCGGCACTCCACCTGAACTCCACTCCTCTCCATCCCACTTCAATTCATTTGTACTCCTTTTTGTCAACTTGTTTGTTTTACTTAAAGGCCAGAGAACGAACGACTGCTGTCCAGCGGTAGAGTGAGGGGTAGGGACACAGGCATGGAATGGAATGGAATGGAAAGAGTTCTTAAGCCGCTCTCTATTGGCATCCGCGCCCACCCACAGACACGGAGGCTGATTGGACTGGCAGCGCGAGTTCAATAATTAAATTTGCGACATTTCAACGCTCACCGATCAATGGAATGAATTAACTCTTGTCAATTATCCAAGTGAGGACGGACTTCAGGCCCAAACCCCAGAGCAGACCAACTCTGCTGAGGTCTCGGAGGCTCAGTTTCTGTCGCTACTTTCATGCCTCTAACTAGCTCTAAAGCAGCAGCCAACAAATGAGAACACTTCCGCTGAGTGCATCGACTCAAGGGTACCGATTGCTCCCAATGTGATCTAGTTATTGGCTTCAAACTCTCTTGATTCGCTCTCACAATGCCCACCGAAACGTATATACCCTGCAGCTCCACAAGTGCAGGGTGGAGCACCGCAAACGGAGGCAGCAGTAGAAAAAAAAAAGCACAGAAGTCCAGCGATTGCCGACAATAAAATGTCACTTGATCGCTGCATTGGCGCTCGTGTCCAACTGAATTTAGGCATCGCCGGCGGTGGTCACTCTCCGCAGTCGGAGCTGCAGTTGGAGCTTAGTTTGGGGGCCTCCTCTGACCAGGTGGCGTCGATCTACCGCAATGCTGCTGCCTGCTGCTGGCTGCTGCTGATGACGACCACACAAGACGCTTAATTTGTTGCGCCCCATGCCGATGACAATGCGTCGTTGCAGCATGTTGTCTCCTGTCCTCCTGTCTCCGCTTGACTCCTCATCAATCAGTGATCAGTTGCTGTTCTTTTCTCTCTCACTGCCGATCGGATGGGGGGGCGCAGCATGCTTAAGGTGGCAGTAGGAGCGCAGAAGTGGCCTGCTTTTTTGTTGCTCCTTCGTTGTTCGGATTTTTTTTGCCTGTACCGTTTCATCGATAATTCAGATCACGCGAATTGGATGCATGTTATGGCCTCTCTCTCTCTCTCTCTCTCTTTCGTCGAAGCTTTCATTCTCATAGAAAAAGCCGCTCACTGAATATGAGCAAAGCTTAGAATTAATTGCGAAAGCTTGGCGAAAGTTTATTCACACTCAGAGTTGTTGAGAATAGAGGAAAAGAGCTTTGATCAGGCATGAGTACATTTAATATTTAAAGATATTATGATGGATCGATGATTGAAAGTAAAAACTGTAATAAAAACTGTATAGAAACCAATGTATAGAATGTGAAAAGTGTTTGGGCTTATAAAGTAACTGTGTGTTTTATGCATAATTAATTATACTCAAAGAGCGGCATATGTAAATATGTTCTTCCTCCTGAATTAACGCTTTAAGTAGCTCTCACTGGCATCCTTGTAGCCCCATCGCATCCTTCACCACATGCCAGAATGCCACTTTAATGAAAATCTATCACAGTCAGGAGGAGTTTGCTTCCGTTTGGGTTCCAGGGGGTAGTACGATGTGCGCGTAAATTCATTACACTTTCTCAATTATGTGAGATACATTTTAATAAGAGGGGGGAGGCGGAGGAGGTTGGGCAACGAATGGAGCAACGCAGGCAGGAGTTGCGTAGAAAACCTCAACATAATCAAGTAAATTAATAGCAGCGAGAAGCCGCCGCGTCGTTTGGCTGCCGGAACCAAAACCGGAGTCAGAGATCAAAGTAATTAATTATAATAATTAAGAACTTTTCAGTAGCTGCCACTCCGCTGTCTTACTCGGTCTCTGCCCCAACTCGCACTCGCTCACACTCTCTATCTCTCTCTCTCTCTCTCTCTTTTGTTGGTTGTGGGTTGCCGAACAAAGTTTCCAGCATTTGCATGCGGCGAAGACCGTTGACATGGGCCTGTGTGTGTGTGTGTGTGTGTGTGTGTGTGTGTGTGTGTTGCTGGAAAGTGCGTGCACCTGTTGAGATTTGAGCAATTCCCCAAGCAAATTCCATATTCATATCTTGTCCGGACACACACTGCCAGCGCCTACCTACTCCCCGCTTTCTGCTCTCTACTCCTCGTTTAATCCTCATTTCCCTTATGATTAAATATGTCTTTAAGTTAGTTTGTTGTTGGTGAGTGGTGCTGGTGAGTGGTTGGTGTCGTTTTAGTTGTTGTAATTCACTAGTTTTTAATCATCGCTAAAAGCGTTGCCTTTGTCGGCAGTGCAGCAGCAGCAGCAGCAGCAGCAGCAGCAGCAGCAACGGCAGCAACGGCATCCAGCCGCAGTAGACATGAAATTCCGCTTCGTTGAACTAATACGTTAAAAGCATTTACCAACACTGCCTAACACGCCCCTCACAGAGCCGTCGCCCACTGGCAATTGTTTGTGCTCAGCGGAGCAGCAGGCTGCGCTTTTGCCTCTCCTCACACCCACTGTCATCCTCTCCTCTTTCTGTTTTTGCTGCGAGATTAAGCACGAAAGAGCCGCAGCATGACGGTCGGGCGGGGATGGAGCGGGGAGGATGCAATCAGCTAGAGTGTCAAAAGAGAAAAAGAGAGCACATGCAAAGCTGCGCCCGCAGACAGCCACCGCAATGAATAAGCTCTTGACACTTGCTGTGGGGCGTGGCTGGTCACCCACTTGGAAGCAATTAATGGAACAACGCACACAAAATGAAACGACCGAGAGAAGCGTGGTGGAAGAAAGAGAGAGCGAGAGGAAATGCACCTGAAAGCTGTAAGATTCTTAGATCAATAATATATTCAATCGTTAAACAATTCTCGATACATTTTTGCTTTTTGTAAATTGGATCCACAATTGTATTCTGCTGCTCTACTTTGAGCTCTCAAATTTGGCTCCGCTTTGTAACAAAACCTCTACAAAATATTCGACAAATGAATGCGCTTCACTTTATTATTATTTAATTTACATTATTCCACTTTTACTCTACGAGTACTTCGGTTGCCCTCTCTTCAGTTTACACTCTCGATATACACTCTCTACTTAAGTATATCCTAGACTCGGGGACTTTCACTTAGTTAGAGGGATACTGGAACTCAGTCTTCTTCACGTTGAGAACACCGTTGTGATCGGTGGTACCATGGAGAGTGGTCACCTTCTGGTGGCCGGAGGCGTCGAAGGAGCTGATGGTCTGCTGGATCTGGGTGGCGGGCACGCTGCTGCCGTACGACTGCTGGGTGCCGATGTTGCTGCCGTACGACTGCTGGGTGCCGATGTTGCTGCCGTATCCGGCATTGTATGAGGGATTGTAGGCTCCGGTTGCAGAGTCCTCGCCGAAGCGGCTCTCAAGGTTCACGCCACTGTAAAGCAACGAGAAAATAATTCAATACAATCGTTATTCCAATCCGGCGGGGCTGGGACTTACAGGCCTGCTGGAGCCGCCTGTTGGGTGTAGGAGGTGCCGACGTGGCCAGATCCATCGGGATTGTGAATGGAGTGGGAGGCGATGGTGATGCTGCCGCCGTTGCCAGACGAGGAGGAGGACGACGACGACGAGGACGAAGAGCTGAACACCTCACGACGCAGACGCCTCAGCAGACGGGCATTGACGGGATGCACATCCGATTGGCGGCCCTCGGAGTCCAGAGTGAAGAATGCGCGGGGCACAAATTGTCCAGCTGTGGGTGTAGTTTGTGAAAGATTATTACAGATATTCCAGCAGGCTACCAACAAAATGCTTTTGATTCACTTTTCGCTGTGAAAGTTGCCTCTCTGTCCCTGTCTCTCTTTCGCTAAAACTTGTTTGATTGCTAACTCTACTTTAGCTTGATAAATTATTCATAATTTTAATATTAATATTCGGAAAGTTTTGACAAACATTGTCGCAAAAAGTCGAATTTCACAAATCAAGTTTCAAATGGTTTTTTTTAATGGTTTTTCGATGGGGTTTTCGGCGATTAACATACCCGGTTTACCCCCAAAACTTGCTAATCAATTTAATAATTAACATGATAAGCGCTTAACAATAGCCTTGATCTAGCCTATTCCGTAGTAGCTTCGATGATGTAATTGAAATATCAGAGGGAGAGGCGTTGGAGAGGGACTTGCACTCACCGGAAGAGGCCGCAGCAGCTGAGGCCACGAAGAGGGCAAGAGCAATCAAAGCGTATTTCATGTTGGATCTGTAATTAAACACACGCACACATGCACAATTAGCAGAGAAGTTATATATATATATATAAATAAATGTATATATGTATTTGACAGCCACACTCACAAAGAACGAACAAAAGACTTAGACAGCGAACGCGTAAAAAGTTCCAAATCGACTAAACCGCCGGGGCCGTGCCGCAGCGCTTTTATATGGAAATTTTTAGCGCTGACGTAGTGCGAATCATCATCATCATCATCAACATCAAAGGCAGAGAAGGCAGAGAGACAGCAGAAGCTGCCAAACAACCAGAAGAACAACCAAGAAATACAACAGAAAAGAAAAAAAACAAATAATTGAATGAACAATAAACATAAGATAACAGATAAAACATAAGAGGAGATCTCTTAAGTCGCGTCTCAAAGTCATAAAAACAAACTTAGACTCAGTGATTCATAAGCTTTAACTTACTCACTCTCTCTCTCTCTCTCTCTCTCTGTATCTCTCTCTCTCTCTGTCTCTGTCTCGGCTCTGCGGATGGATTCAAAATTAAATTCCCCTAACCTGAGACATGAGCCAAAACCCCGAGCCAGCAGTGAAACTGGATATATTTTCGGTTCTGTTTGTTTTCGTTTTATTTGCATTTCGCGGTTTCTGGCTCCCTATGAACGGGCAGCTGTTGTTGTTCGTGGCCCAAGCTCGTGTATGTTGGCCAAGTGCCGTGCCCCCCCCCCCCTTTCCCCCTCTTAGAGTCTTGAGCATTGCCACTGACCCGATTCGTGGTTGGGCCCAACACTTATGTTTCTGATTCTGCCGCTCACTTTGGGGCAATAGCCTGATTAAAGAGACGCCAGCAGCTCCACATGTAAGTAGTGACAAACATTCAATTACACTCGAAAAAATAAGGGACTACCATTGGAATTAGTTTAATGGCTGACATGCGTCTTCCATTTATAATTTTATATCCCGATCTATTTTGAAACGCGTTCAACACGTTCCGTTAGGGTTTTAAACTGGTTTTTAATTGATATTTTGTTTTTAGTTTCTTTTTTTGCAAAACAAAACCAAAACAGATCTGATTTTGTTACCCAATTTTATTAGTCTTTAATTATACATTTACATATCTGTATTCCAGGAAATCCTCCATGCAATTAGCCAAAAAACCGGTTGAGAATTGCCTCGATTTCAACTTGCTGCTGTAATGGTTATTGCGGTAAGCGAGTTTTTAATGCATTTATAATCTACGAAAAATCGATCGTTTAAAGTCCATTCATCGGTTAGGAGTCGCTGCCACAAAGCATGCCATGGAAAACCATCCACAAATTCAATTCAATGGATTTACATTAATCTCAAACAAATCGCAAGCAAAATTTGCTGCCATTTGTTTCGCTTTGACCGCCCAAAAATAAATATTTTCGAATTTCGCACACGTTTTTTGCTTGGCAAGAATAAAAATTGAATACGAAACAAGAGGGTGTGGGGGGGTGTTGGAAAACCTTTTCCGCAAATGGTGACAGAGCCAAAATTTCTGGCCGCATACTCGGGAAAAATATTCCCCAGTCGATTTGGTACGATTTATTATATGGCAGTGTCCGCCCAGAGCCGCCTGTCCAGCCCGAGCACCATTAATCATTTGTGTCCGAAGCTGAGTCCGAGTCTACGAATCATCGGAGGCAGAGTCCTTGTCCGTGTTTTGGACACTCCAGATTGGCGAATAAACTTTTGCGGTACGTGGCAACGTGTTGAAATTACAAAATGTGTTAAAAAACTGCCAAAAAAAGAAACACGCAAAATAAAATATTTCATTCACACACAGACAGAAAAAGAAAAACAAAAAAAAACCGTAAATTTCCTTTGAGAATAGAGTCATAGGACAGCAGCCAGAACAGGACAGCGACTGGGAAAGTGGGAGTGCAAGGTGATTATGTTTGACAGCCGGCCAGGGACGAAAGCCTCCCTGGGCCAGCCCAAAACTCCTGCTGAGCAATGTGTGAAAATTGGCTTCAGTCTTGCACGCCTGATGTATGGCCAACTATGCCGATAATTCCGCTGTTCGCCAGACTTTAGATTCTTAACTACAAGATCTGAGAGAATTCGAGAGGAACGGCAAATTCTCCATTGAGGTCATGTGGCTCTTGCTCTTGGCTGCTGCCATTAATGTCTCACTCCCCGGGGAACTCTGACTGGGAAAAATATGAATAATTGAAACAGCTGAACGGCCAGAATGCGTGTCCAAATCTGAATCAAATTTTCCATAGAGATATTCCTCTTCGTATACATAATCAAGTACGAGTTTTATTTAATGTGCCTGTTTTTGGGGGGATAAATGATAATTTGGCTTTCACTTCAACCTCCCTCAAACGGAGGACACAGCCTTTTGATTACAAAATTGATTTTCAATGTTTTTCACACACAAAACCAAAATACAAACAACAACAAAATGCTGCCAAAAATTCAGTAAAAAAAGTGCTTTTGTGTGAGTGCCAGTCAGCGGAGTGGGGGGGGGGGGGGAATGGAAAACCATTCCAGATCCACTTCCACTTCACCATAGAAATGTCATCGTGACATCAACTGTGGCAACACGAACTCTGCCTGATTTCTCCAATGATTTTTCGCAATCAGCTTGATGAGGATGTGCGCGCTGTAGTGCGAGTGTGTAGGGGGTGGTGGGGGGGGTTGATGTAGGAGGTGGCTGGTCTATGATTAGTATCCCGGCATTGGGCCTCGGCGTGTGCCCGACTCGCATGCCAAGTGGCCAGCAGACAAATGAAATTTTAATGCCAAAAGGAAAACAAAGTTGTCTTTGATGCCCTAACAGTCTGAAGGCAGCTTCCATGATATAAGTGAGAGTGATATAAGCAGGTGTACCCTCGCGGAAGTGTATGTTGAGAGGAGCTCCTGCCTGATGTACCACGTGCTGGTCAGAGACAGCAGCCAGAGTACCAAGTCAGAGTCAGAGACAAAGTGGAATGTGTTGAGGCCCAGGGACGCGGCTAGAATTGGGAATCGAGAATCAAGAATAGTTGCTTATCCCTGCCCCTGGCATATGCCGCAGCCATATCAATGCCATAATGTCCTTGGCCCACGAGCATCTTTATCTTTTCCTGCTCTTGCGCTGGCAATTATTTGCGTGTATTTCTGGTCCTGGGAAAGGCAAACAATGGATATATCGAGCACACGCCCGTAGACATGATTGCATCCGCAACGGAAGCAGCCAGCAACCCGTAGTCTGTACATCCCGAAGTATCCTTCCTGGGGCGGCCTCTCATCCGCAATTTTCACGCCCACTTTGTTTGATGATGACAAATCTCGTTGCGTGTTATCAGATTGGCTCAAAACCCCACCCCCGTCTCCCCCGGCTGCATTGCATAATTATGTTTATCTTCGGATGCGAAATACTACGATGTAGTTTGGGTCACGTGGCCATCGACAGTTCGGTCTTGGCTTCGACCTCGACCTCTGCCACGGAACGAGCGGCACGTGCTAATCGGCGGTCGCCTGTTCTCTCCTGCCCATTGCCTGCCACGCCCCTCTACACCACTGCCACGCCCCGCTCTACATGGCCGATAATTGAAATCGCTAAGCCCAAGTACGAGTTACGAGTTACGAGTTACGCGTATGGGGGCAATGGCTTCATTTATCAGCTCGATGCCGTGGCAGGGCATTAATTTTGTTCTACAATTTTAGCAACGGAAGAGAGTTATGCTGGGGGGGAGGGGGGAGGGGGAATCACTTACTTCAATTGGCTTTGCCAATTTTTATTTATTAATTAGCGGAAGACACAATAAGTAGGTTTATTCTTGCAGAAGAATCTATTGGAAATGGCAAAGATGAGTGCAAAAGGCAGGGAGAGGAATTTATGAAACCTTTTTCAAGATATATTTATGTATAGTTTTTCCGCCATTTTAATTAGTCTAAGTTCAAAGACTTTGATCATTAAATGTGTACAAATTGAAGGTGGCCTAGCAATGTTTCCTTTGCCTTTAAATTAAAGTACAAGCCAGTTAATGAGTAAACTCAAACACACACTGCGAGTGAGTGTCGCCCTGTGGACGCATAAATTATGAATAAAATCCTGCTGGAGCAGGAGAGAGAGAGTCAAAGGCAGGGAGTTGAGTTGGCCCGCTTTTATGGAAGCGTGCTAAATAAAATATTTGAATACTTAAAGCCATAAACCTGAGTACATATTTATAAATTAAGTTGAAACCAAGCCCGAGGCCACATGCCACACACATGCAGTGTGTGGAGCAGTGGCAGGGGCAGCACTGACCCTTTTCGAGTGATCCTTCTGGCACGCCGTCATTAGAAATGCTTACTAATGTGCCCGCCTTAATAATAATCAAATTTATATGCATGGTTATGTCCTTTGGTCCTTTAGAATGTGAATCTGGTTTGGAGTCGGAGCAGGAATCCTGAGATAATGTTGAGGCCCAGCCAAGTGTCTGTGTCTGAGATGAAAAGTGTCAATATCCTTGTTTTGGCTAACATAAAGAAAGGAATGCTGCAGCTGTGGTCGGGGCCGGGTGCGGGTGCGGGTGCGGTTACCACGCCCAGTCTGGGCTACTCGTACCGTTATGCATTGTCCGTTCGTCCGTTTGTTGGCTTGTTTTTGGCTGTTTGCCGGCCAACACTGAGACTAAATGGCCCAAAAGGTTGCCTCTCCTGGGAGCCAAGCCTCCCGCCAGCCACTGTCTCCGGATGAGTCTTGGAAATATCACAAAAATTAATTATGAGCGACCGGCCAAAGGATACCCACCACTACTCTCATGAATGCCCCCAAAGTTGTTTCTTTCCTTTTTGATTTGCTGGAAATGAATCTGTCCAGCGACCACACCCAAGTCTCTGTCTTTCTTTCTCTGCTCGCAGCAGCGACAATAAAAACAAATTACAATTGCAACAATAGCAACCTTTGAGGCAATTCAACACAGGAGCTGGAGAAGGTAGACTTCCAGCTAAGGGATGGGCTTGCAGGAGCCATTCACCCCTTTCAGATAGCGAGAGAGTGAGGGAGAGAGAGAGACCCCGCCCGGCCTGGCAGAAGACAGGAAAAATTGAAATAAATTACCAAAACTAAAGGCCAACAACTGTTCGCATAATGAAGTCAAATTATATTTTTGCCTGTATGTTTGGATAGTTTCCAAAACAGGGGAACAAGCGCCGGAACACTGAGAGAAAGGCACCGCCTAGAAGTGGGACTTGT